AGGATAAAATTTTGTGAGGCCCTAGCTTAATGACTTCTCCCAGAGCTAATTGGAGCCAGGAGTGAGCCAACCTTGACTCCAATCAGTGTGATGATATTGGATGTGTTGCTGACAGCTGTCCTGCCCTTAAAAAACACACACACCTGTTTTGGGTTAACTGGTTTCAAGAAGCACTGTCTGATGTGAACCATGCCTCGCAGAAGAGAGTGCTCAGAAGACCTACGATCAAGAATTGTTGACTTGCATGAAGCTGGAAAGGGTTACAAAAGTATCTCCAAAAGCCTTGATGTTCATGTGTCCACAGTAAGGCAGACTGTCTACAAATGGAGAAAGTTTAGCACTGTTGCTACTCTCCCTAGGCTTGGTCGTCCTGTAAAAATGACTGCAAGAGCACAGCGCAGAATGCTGCATGAGGTAAAGAAGAATCCCAGAGTGTCAGCTAAAGACCTACAGAAATCTCTGGCACATGCTAACATTTTTGTTGACACATCTACAATAAGGAAAACATTAAACAAGAATGGAGTACATGGGAGGACACCACGGAGGAAGCCATTGCTGTCAAAAAAGAATATTGCAGCATGTTTGAAGTTTGCAAAAGAGCACCTGGATGTTCCACAGCACTACTGGCAAAATATACTGTGGACAGATGAAACCAAGATTGAGTTGTTTGGGAAGAACACACAACACTATGTGTGGAGAAAAAAAGGCACAGCACACCAACATCAAAACCTCATCCCCACTGTAAAACATGGCGGAGGGAGCATCATGGTTTGGGGCTGCTTTGCTGCCTCAGGGCCTGGACGGATTGTTGTCATTGATGGGAAAATGAATTCCAGAGTTTATCAAGACATTTTGCAGGAAAACGTATGACCATCTGTCCGCCAACTGAAGCTCTGCAGAGGATGCGTGATGCAACAGGACAATGACCCAAAGCATACAAGTAATTCAACAAAGCAATGGCTGCAACAGCACAGAATACGCCTTCTGGAGTGGCCCAGTCAGAGTCCTGACCTCAACCCGATTGAAATGCTGTGGCATGACCTTTAAGAGAGCGTTCACACCAGACATCCCAAGAATATTGCTACACTGAAACAGTTTTGTGAAGAGGAGTGGTCCAAAATTACTCCAGATTGTTGTGCAGGTCTGATCTGCAACTACAGGAAACGTTTGGTTGAGGTTATTGCTGCCAAAGGAGGGTCAACCAGTTATTAAGTCCAAAGGTTCACATACTTTTTTCCTCCCTGCACTGTGAATGTTTACATGTTATGTGCAATTAAACCATGGCAACATCTAATGTTTGTGTAGTATTATGTTCAGCAGACTGTGTTCTTCTATTGTTGTGACTTAGATGATGTTCAGAGCACATTTTATGCCCAATTCATGCAAAACTCCACGTAATCCCAAGGGGTTCACATACTTTTTCTTGCAACTGTATCAGTTACAGGGATGAGACAAATGATTTACTAACTGACATGGGTGCTTACAAACATCAGCTTTTATCAGCTCTTATTAAAAGAATGTTTTCTGTAACTTATTACTGTTGACTGGAGTTTGGCTTCAAGTTGTTAATTTATTTTAATTGGCTAGTATATCTAACACGTCCCTCCTCCCTGACTGGCAATGCTGCTTTCCAAATGTGCCCCCTGTGCTCATTCATCCAGAGTGGGGGCACGCTAATACAGGAGGTGTCTTACTGGTCAGAACATCAGGTGAAAACAGAGGGGAGAAAGGAAAAAAGAATGCAGCCGCCACATCTGATTGGCAAGCTGCAATATACTGTATGGGATTTTTGGTTTAGGGTTTAATACCACTTTAAGGCAGGCTGTTTGTTAAGAATGAGCTGCCAAAGCTTGGAAACGGAAGGAAAACCAGATTTGCATGTGTGTTGTGGTTCACTGCAGTGAGGGTCCATCAAAACCTATTGTACTTGTTCATTGTGTTGCCATTATAAATGATTTGCACTGAACAGCATGCTGTTACAGTGTGTTACTGCAATGCATTGGTGTGAAGCCATCCTGAAGAAAAACATGAAAGAAAATGACTCAAAGCCACTAGCTTTCCCCTTTTAACCGAGCATCTTTCTATAGCTTACAAATTGGCTTTTTGATAGAAAATAGATAAAACAATTAAATATCTTGATCAAATGATGCTTCTTTTATAACTGTCTGCTTTATTGTCTGAACTTTTAATTTCAGTTCTTTGATGTCTCCTGAACTTGTGCATTTACTGTAGTGTGTGATTTTTCAGTTATTTTCTTGATAAAGCTTTCTCCCATTCTCTAAAGCTTCCACTGAAAAATATATTCAGTTACACTACAAAATGTTTCTCTGCTTCTTGTTTCACTTTATTGTAACTAGCTTGTAAGTGGGTGCAGTGTGGAGCAGCAGCAGAAAACACTCCAGGTACGAGTCCAAAATCCTTCCAATAGGTTTTATTTCCATACACACAAATGCATTGGGAACACTACACATTCTATTCCAAATCAAAACATGAAGAAAAATATATCAAATTTGTGTTGTTCCTCTAAAAAAATTGAAGAAAAGTGAATATTAGACTGTTCAAAAAAATAGCAGTGTTTGTATTCTTCTTTACAAACTCAAACATTCACTATATAAACTGAAAAATGTTTGAAGATTTTGCTTTCCTTTGAATCACTTAATTAATATTTAGTTATATAACCACTGTTTCTGAGAACTGCTGTACATCTGTGTTGCATGGAGTCAACCAACTTCTGGTACCTGTGAACGGGTATTCCAGCCCAGGATGATTGGACTACATTCCAAGGTACGCTGTTCTTCTGAACAATGTCTGGAACGACCCATTTTCCTCAGAATTTCAGAGAGAAATGTACTGTAACCAGCAGGTACAACATTTGCTGCCTTCCTTCCTTAAATAAGGGCAATAATTGCCACCTGTTTTTCAAAGAATGAATGACCTCACTAATAGAACTCCACACTGCTATTATTTTGAACATGCCCCTTTCAATTAGTGATTCAATTACACAGAATCAGCAGCATGCATGTCATGACTGTTGGGTCTGTTGGATTTCTATTACTCTACTACACCTGCTAGTAAATTATTTGCCATGTAGAAATATCATTTCTACCAAAAACAGTGATTGATCAGGTTAGTGATGTCTGACTGCTATTATTTTGAACACAACTGTATATTGCAACAAAGTTCAGCAGTACAACAAGTCCAGCAGAAAGGCACCCTGACCGGGAGCACTTGGAGGATGTAACAGCGGAGTATCAGAGCAGTGGGTTCCAGGTGTGCTGACAGCGTCTGTCTCGAGTGGCGGAATGTGGCTTGGCCAGTCCATACCCAAGTGGGGAGTCTTCCAGGAAGGATGGTGTGTCCCTGCACTTCCTCTACTCCTCTGGAACATTTCCCTGATGCTAAGCACTACCCTGACAGATGGGAGCCCTGCCCTACTCTAGCCACACACGAAATGCACACAAAGCCTGGGAATCAGGGTCCAAAGTAGACTCTGCTTGACCCAAGATGGCCACCAATACACATAGGGCACCAGCATCCTTTGTGGCCCTTGTGACCCAGGAATCCATAGAGAAGCTAGGTTTCTTTTGACTTCCTCTCCCTCTGTAGTGCCACCTGCAGTGGAAAAATAGACTTCACCTACCTACACTCCCCCCCCCCCCCCCCCCTTTTAGTAGAGGTCCTCGGCATAATAGTACAGTAAATAACAATATGAAAACTGCAATAAACATAATTAGGACATACGGCAACAGGAAAAAATTCAAACCACGTAATCAGAATGCTTTGCAGGGTGCTGACCATGGGTAGACCGCATGGGGTGGCGGATCTCAGTGTCTCCACTGGATGCATCCTCCAAGTAGTCATCTTCAGCCTAAGGTTCTGGAGCCTTGGGCAAATGGCAGTCAACAAGGTCAGCCATACCCCTTTCTCCTGGGCTAGGCTGACTCTTCAGAACTGTTAAGACAGGCAACTGCCCATAGGGGTTGCTGGACTGTCGCTAGATGCTTTGCTGGGGCATTCTCCTTTCATGTCTGTAGAAGCCAGAGGCTTTAGCATTTGAAGATTCAGATATCATTTGTTGGGAACCTTTTGTACTTGTGGAACACCCATAGTCATGTTTCTCTCTCTATCCTTGTGCAGGTTTGAATCCTACACCAAGTGTGGGTGAGTGCGGCATGGTGCGATGGCAGAAAACACTCAGAGTACAGATATGAGTAACAGGAATATACTGTATGTTGCAATAAAGTTTGGCAATACAACAAGCCTGGCAGGAAGGCAACCCACCCTAGAGCATTCACAGGATGTGACAGCAGAGTATCAGAGCAGTGGGTCCCAGGTGTGCTGACAGCATCTGTCTCGAAGAACCAAATCTAGCCTGGCTTGTCCTTTCCCAAGTGGAGAGGCTTCCAGGAAGAATGGTACTCTGTAAAGTCCAGGAAGGAGGCTTCCTGAATTCCTTTCAGCTACAGCTATGCTGCTCTGTTAAAGTGGAAGTGAAGGCATTTTACAAAAACTTGCAACTGGCAGGTATTTATCACAGGAGAGACATGTCTCTTCTACAATAAAATACACCTACCTGCCTGCTCGTAGTCTTCTGCGGCATGTAAACTGAGCTGTGCATGTGCAGCTCAGCTTACATTGCTGGCAGTGTTATTGTTTGCCAGGATGACTGACTCCTGTGCATGTGCAGGAGTTGCGTCATTTCATGCCAGCCAATGAAGATGCCCCAAGACTGGCACCCTGGGAGAAGATGCCAGGTGAGGGACCCCTTTCCAACATCGGACCATTAAAGAGGAGATAAGAATAGTTACTTTAGTTCTCATTTAAAAGCGATCCACCCCAGATTGCTTTTCTCAGACCAGTAGAAGTGTAAAAAAGCCCTTGCAGTGCTGATATGGACAGTATAGAAGTTTAGTGATTTTCCATATTGGGGTTCAGTTCCCACCAGGAACATTATCTGCCTTTACTTTGAATGTTTATTCTGTGTTTGCATGGGTATCCATTGAGTGATCCAATTTCCCACAAGCCTTCAGCTGTTGCAAAACTACAAGTCCCATCATGCTTCTGGCTTTGGAAGTCATGCTTGTAACTGTCAATCTTGCAATGCCTCATGGGACTTGTAGTTCGGCAACAGCTGGAGAGCCGCCAGTTTGATACCCATGGCCTAGGTGGTCAGGGCGGAAGTGGGAGCGGGTAATTGTCAAAGTCGGGTACACGTTCCCCTTCCCCAAAAGCTCCATTTCACAGTGGGGAGCGGGGAAGAGGCCTTAAAGTGGAACTTCCCCTTTTGGGTGGAGCTCTACTTTAAGCAACCCATAGATGAGTCTTTTTTTTTTTTTTTTTTTTGATCAACTAGCAGGTTTTACAAAAAAAAATGACTCAATTCCCCCAACCACACACTCAATGGAAATCTTCTCCACTGAGCCTTCGTATTCTAACAGTGGGGAGACTTCCCTGCTGTCAGAATATGCTGATCAGCACTGCTGGCTATTGGCGCAGACAAGGCTGGAAAATACGACATGATGGTTGTATAGAAGTTGATAGAACAGCTTTCCCATACCTGGATCAAAATTCAACCGGTCCCTGTTGAACCAGCTGAATTTTGACCCATGTATGTCCAGCTTTAGTTCCTGTCTCTTTGACAGTCTGTGGCAGTAGGACAAGAAATAAGGAATCAGATTTTACAGGACATTAAGATAAAGATAGCAATAAATTCTCTGATGTTCTAACACTTTGCCATATTACTAAAAAAGAAGTGTTTTGTCGCAGTCTGGGTTCTCAAAGGAGAGACTTCCCATCACTTCCTGCCCTGTCTGGAGGTGAGAGGAGATGTCTCCAGTGGGATAGCAGATAACCATGAAAAATTGACAAGGGTTCTATCCCTTGGCTGTATTTAGGCTGTAAAGGCACATATGCTATTGAATTTTAGGACACAATGTGCTTGCCTCAGTTGCACCCCCCCCCCCCCCCCCCCACTACCACACACACACATACAAACACACTACCTGGGCTCCGGCTGTCAGAATAAAATTGCCATCAGGGGAGATTCATATTCCTTGAAATGTCATAATGAATTTAAGGAACAATTCCCTGTCTCTTTTCCCTCTTTAGAGGTGACAAGGACAGATGTAGACAAGCAGACTGTGCCACGTTCATCCCACAAAAGACCCTTGGCCATGATAGATGTTACTGAGGCAGGTGGTCACAAGATGTCAGGTCTTGCAGATGAAGACTATAAAAGCACATCATCCAAGGAGGTACCAGGTGAGGCATACTCCACTCACTATTGGTTTCTGTTACCTGTCTAGTTTGGCCTCCGAAAAACATGATACTAAAGATAAAAGACTAACTTCCAGACCTTGGCGTTGTTTCATACAGGATGAATTAGTATACATTTGTATTGTTCTGTTAAATCTCTTCATCAAGCTTGGTCTAAAAACATAAGTAAAGTACAGCCATTCAGTAGCTTATTATGTCTACTGTTCTGCCGTAGTACTTACCATTTCTATCTTTAAGTGTTCCTACTCCTCATCTGTGATTTCCATTAAAGATTCCACAGAAATATTAGTACACTCTTTTAAGGGCCGTGGCAGGTATGTACACCTGGGAACTTCCATCGTTGCGTTTTTCAACTCCTCATTTGTGATCTCCATTAAAGATCCCACAGGAATATTAGGACCCCCTTTAAGGGCCATGGCAGGGATGTACACCTGGGAACCTCCACCATTGAGTTTCCTGAATCCTCATTTGTGATCTCCATTAAAGATCCCACAGGAATATTGGGATCCCCTTTAAGGGCCATGACAGGTATGTAGACCTGGAACTTAAAGAAGAATTAAAATCTGCATTTTTTAAATGGGCCCCCCAAAGCTGTTAACACTAAAGTGCTAGTATGGACAGCATGGCGGATTTACCTGTTAAAATATCTTCCCAGTCTGCGCATCCACTAGTCATGGGTGCCTCCATCTTCTCACGGTCTTCCCTCTGGGGTCAGATTGTTCAGTCATTTGATTGCCCAGGCTGCACTCACCTCACTCCTGTGCTTGCACTCAGAAGTCCCACCATCACAGCATAGAGCTGTGCTGTAAATGTACTTTAATGCTGACAGGCAGGGAGAAGCACTTACAAAACCAATAGGGTCTCTTCTGTCATTAAAATCCTACCTGTCAGCATTTTTTTCCGGTTCAGATCCACATTAGCACAGCAATTTTGCCAACACAGTTGATGGAAATAAAGGAAACTGTTAAATAGTTTAGGTTTCCACTATCCGTCATAAGCTGGAAAAACTGGACCTAATGTACCACCAATTAATTCCTGACAACTGGTCAAAGAGCTAATCTAAGTATCTTTCCAGCTCCATAACTACACAGTACATCAATTATAATCCTTCCTGAAGAAATATATAAGACCAGCATCCCAGTTATAATATTATGGGAATTTTTCAGGTGTCAGAATAATAAAACCTTATTACAAAACAGCAAAATATAATTGAATTTGACGCCAGTGGGATCTATACCATTAAAACATCTCATGGATTACATCCACTAAAACTGCTATGTCATATTCACTAAAATCCTCTGTTATCTTATTGTTATAAATAATTTAACTGGGACGTTCCACTTAAATCTCATCTTGTGAGGAAGGCCATAGCAATCACTGAATATTCTGAATAATCTTATGTGTCATCTTGTAGACTTCACCTCCGCAACATCTCCAAGATACGCTCATTCTTAACCTCTGAAACTACTAAGCAACTTATTCACTCCCTGGTTATCTCTCGCCTTGACCTCCTCATTGGCCTACCTCATCGCAGGCTATCCCCTCTTCAGTTTATCATGAATACTGCTGCCAGACTCATCCACCTTACTAAGCATTCCATATCTGCCATCCCTCTCTGACAATCCCTCCACTGTCTTCTGTGGGAACTCGCATCAAATGGTAGAGCTTTTTTAAAGCACACAGCAACACGCTTTCTTTTTAAGGGCAGTTTTAGCCCACTTTATTTAAAGGAAAAGTTCCATAAAGCCAAAAAACAAACAATTTCCCTCACAGGGGTTTTCAGCATTTCATTCTTCCAAAAAATGACTTTTAGCCTCTTGGCTTATACATACAATCCTCCTCTGGCCTTCCACTTCAGGCTTACGTCTGTCTCCTGCAGACTCTTTTCTAAATGGCTGTTTTGCTCACAGCTAGCCACTAGCACACACCTACTCTGGCTTCCACCTCTCCTAGGTAAAGCCCTCCTGACTCCAAGGCAGTGACCTCCTGTCTGCTGGGGTGGAGCCCAGAATCATGGCTAGGCCTCTATGAAAAGGCCTGCACATACCTGTGCAATCAGTGTGCTGGGGGGGGGGGGTCTGAAAACACGGACCCCGGATTGGAGATTTCATCCCTCCCAGATCACTTAGAAATCTCCAGGCTCCAGATCCCAAAATGGTCTTTATGAATAATTGAGGAAACTGAAAAGCCAGTTTCCTCTGCATTAAATAAACCCTCTGGAGCCCCTCAACCTGCCTGGTTGAGAATCCAGGGTTATAAGCTTGATTTTGACCATGGCAGGATACCACGCTGCCACACTTCCCATTGCCCAACAAATAAAATTCAAAACATATATATATATATATAAAGCCATTTATAACTCTGCCACAAATTACGTCACCAATCTTGTCTCCAAATATCACCCAAACCGTCCTCTCCACCCCTCCCATGACCTCCTGCTTTTTAGCTCCCTTGTTTCCTCCTCCCATGCTCATCTCCAGGACTTCTCCAGAGCCAAAAAGCCAAAGTCCAAAGTTTAAGACCATCTTGAATAAATTAAAGGAGATCTATAGTCACAGCATACAATTTTATAATGTCAGTATTGTAATAGCAATATAAACCGTTATTATTGACCAACCAGTATAAGCTTACTTGAAAAATCTTTCGTGTTGTGAATGATGCCTATCTTAGGGTGACCAGATGTCCCTGATTCTGGGGACAGTTCCTCCATCTGTCTACCTGGGAGCTGCATGTATTCCCTGTACCTCCCAGCTTTGTCCCTGTATTCTGCACTCTCATCAACCTATGTGTGCATTATATACACACAAAGCCTTCTACTGACTCACCCTCTATTACCCAGCACTGTGCAGTTGGGGGCAGGATTGTGCCTCCTTTAGGTGGCTGAGTTGAATCTCCTTCTATTCTGAAGCCAGCACAAAGAGAAGAGATGGTAAGAAGATCTAAATAGATGGAGAGGGACAGTACAATGCTGTGTGTATGTGGGTGGGTGCAGCATGGTGCGGTGGCAATAAACACGCCAAGTACAGTTGCAAAAACAAAACTTGTATTAAAAATGTCAAGTTTAGTAAATCGCAACAAGCCCAGTCATAACAGGCCCAATGGGAAGGCACCCGACTGGGAACACTCACTCAATATGACAGCAATATGTAGTGGAGCAAGTCTCAGATGTACAGCGTCTGTTTTGAGGGGTGGAATGTGGCCTGGGCGGTCTGGGCCCAAGCGGGGAGGCTTCCAGGAAGGATGGAGCATCCCTGTCCTTTTATGTACTCATCTAGAACTTCTCCCTACAGCTGTTCACTGTCCCTGTCAAACAGATGACCTGTCCCTAAGTTGGCCTGAGCTAAGTTGGTTGCCAGAGTCACATGGGCTGACAGCATCCAACTGGATTGCTGCCCCAGTGACCCAGGAAACCATAAAAAAACCGTGTTCCTCTCAACTTCCTCTCCCTCTGCAATGGCGCTGTGGATGAGTGCCACCTGCAATTGAGAACGTAGACACCTTCACGAGTATGAGCGCTCAAACCATGCACTAACAGAGGATGACAGTAGAATGCAGTGTGTATATACAGGGATCCCATCCACATTACTACCTGTGTATCCAAGCTATTTACTACAAGAGTTTGGAACAACAGTGCTGTGTTCCCATCCACATTACTACCTATGTACCCAAACTATCCCCTATTGGAGGGGAACATTACAGTGATGTATGGATATACTCAAATGCCATCCACATTACTACCCATGTGCCAAACCATCTATTATAAGAGGGTAGCAGTACAGCACTGTGTATATACAAAGATCCCATCCACATTACTACCTGTGTACCCAAACCATCTACTTTAGGAGGGTGACCGTATAGTGCTTTGTGTATATACAAGGGTTCCATCTGTACCTCTGTATTCAAACCATCTACTTTAGGAGGGTGAC